AGGTGCTTGCCATACAACTCCAAAAGCTTATTTTATATATTTGGAAAAATAATAAAGTCAGATTCATGAAACTTGGCAGTTGTATGTTGAGTTATAGGTCACATATATTTCTGAAGGTTTGGTGGAATTGCTTAACAGGTTCGAGTAGATCCCATACAAGTCTAAAAGCTTATTCTTAATATTTGGAAAAATAATAAAGTCAGATTCATGAAACTTGGCAGTTGTTTGTCCGATTATAGATCAGATATATTTGTGAAGGTTTGGTGGAACTGCTTGGCAGGTTCAGGTACTTACCATACAACTCCAAAAGCTAATTTTAAATATTTGGAAAAATTATAAGGTCAGATTCATGAAACTTGGCAGTCGTATGTCCAATTATAGGTCAGACATGTCCGTGAAGTTTCTATAGAATGATTTTAGAGGTTTCTATAGAATGATTTTTAATAAATTAAATGTGTAAGTGAATCACCAAGTAGGTAATTTAAATATACATAATAAAACTAAGCTCAAGAGCATATATAAATATTTAAAAAAGTGTATGAAAGCCTTCATATTCATTTAAAAATTAAGTCAGTGTTGGAAAACCTTTTTGTGAGAAAGATCTCACATTATGAAATTTAAAAAGTTAACAAATTTTTTCTTATTACACATTATTAAACTTTTTCTAAAAAAATATGTACATATGTATATTTTTCTTTCCATTTTCTTCTTCTTAATTAAAATCCGGCTTGTCAGACGTCCAGGTTTTAATTAAGAAGAAGAAAAAGGTTCTCGGACGGGTAAATTTTCTGAGTAATGTGATCAGCAGATAACCGACCACGATGTATATTGTCTAGATTAGCAAAAGTATTCCAGAAAATTATGAAAATGCGTTTTAAACACTTCTTTACAATTTTAAGGACACTAATAAGCTTTTAGTTAACATACCTAGAAAAATGTATAATTGGCTCTTCGTTCGGCTGAACCGATTTTAATGAAATTTTATATATAAGTTTATTTCGACTATGGCACGGATTAATCAACTTTTGGGATATATCAGGCCTCGAGAACTGCACTTTTTAGCGGGCCTGTTTTACGTTTTTGATCATTATGAAGAAAGTATTCAGCAGATATTCTTGAAATTTCATATGTAAGTTTCGCTCGTCCGTCCGCGAAACCTCCTAACTTTTGGAAGAAATCAGGCGCCAGTAACTGGACGTTTACTACGGGTGGGCCAAATATACATTTTTGCGTATATAACGAGAAATAATCAACCGATCTCCTTGAAATTTATTATTTAAATTCGAAGTATTAATGCAATGAATCTATAAATTTTTTGGAAAAATAAGAGCTCGGAAACTGATCTGGGGCCGATTTTATATTTTTTACCATATCTACGGAACAAATTGATGGAATTTCTTGAAATTTGATATTTGAATTCTGGTTGTCACCGAAACTAACTGACAACCATTTCAGTAAATTCGGGCAGCACTAAATGAAACTCTACTAAGAGCCAAATTTACCTTTTTCTAGGTATGTTAACTATAAGCTTACTAATGCCCTAAAAATTGGAAAGAAGTATTTAACAAGCATTTTTATAATATTCTGTAACATTTTCACTTAACTAAACAATACACATTGCGGCCGGTTATCTGTTGAGAACATCAGGTTTTTTTGTATGCTGTTTCTTTATGGTATATTACGCTTCCACATGAAGAAAATGTATTTTTTCAAATGATCGACTGTAATTGCTCAGTTCAAACCACAACACAAGCAGTAACAGATTTTCATCTGTAAAAATTTTCAATTACAAATACATATATCTTCTTTCTCGTTAAAAGAAAAGTGAAACGAAAATCGAGATTTTCCAACATCCGAGGGCAGAACTCTATAAGACTCTATATTTTAAGATCATAGATGTTCCAAAATATCAACATTTTTCAAAGTTTTAGTTTTACTAAATTAATATTCAATCTTTTTCTGTTGGACTTAAGCTAACACTTCTATAGTTTTGTGTTATATAATGTTGTTTTAATATGTTACCCTATATAAGCATATAGGGCTATCATATTTTCTTCTGCTATATTCCTGTTGGCTGTTTACTAGTACGTGAAATGATTACTAAAAATGTAGTATTGATTAAGTAAAAGAGAATAACAACGACAATCTTTAAAAATTAAATGCTATAAATTAAAAGCAAATTATTTTGGATATAACCATACAAGGTGAAAATAATCTTCATTATTTTGGTTATTTTAAACTACGAATAAATCTTATATATAAAAAAAAATTTTCCCAAAAAAAGAAAAAATCAGTAATACCTAGTAACGGATACAAAGAAACGCAATTTGAAGAGTATCGAGCATTCATGGATACCATAAAAGTAACTGGATTTCATATCCCTGAAAGCCCAAAAGAAGGTTAACACCAGAACTTTTCTCCAGAACACCCTAGCAAAAAATTTTTTGGCGCAGTCATGGGTCATAAAGCACCTTCATAGTAATACTGAAAAATTCATGAAAAAATCTTTGTAATTTTTGTAAATCGGTCCTAGAAAGCTCTCAAAAACCGTTCTAAGGAGCCTGAAAGTTATCAAATATAGTTAAACGATACACCATCAAAATTCCGGCATTGGAATGCATAATGTTCATGAAGCAAGATAAAATAATTGGAAAGAGCACAGTCGAAGCATTTAAAAAATCGTTTGCCAGGTCAAAGAACTCCTCGGCGATCGCCAAAAAAAGCACTTTAAGAATATTGATAAAAACGTCCGCTGATGTTTTTTCAATTTTTTTTATTAATAAATTAATTGTTCACGAATAAATTTATTTTCATTTGGTTCTGCCATAATACAAAGATTTTGCGTTTTTCAAGTCTGGAGAAGTAAAATGTTGAAAAATATTCCAATACAATAAATTTTAATCTGCAGTACAAAACATTATTAATGTTAACTGCACGAATTCAAGTTGGTTTTGAAAAGCTTTTTTTTCACTTACATTTTGAGATTATGAAATAATGGATGGCAATAGAAAATATGAATATATATGGTTAGAAATTTATGTGAGCTATTTTTTCAATAAAAAACTTAATAATTTTTCAACAAAATATATACATGTATATATCTTTATTACAAACATACATTTCTTCAAAGTTAAAACAAAACGTATTTACTTAATATTTCTGTATATTACATTAAATTATTCAACAGAAAATAAAATAGTTTTTGTTAGATGCTTGCGAATATTTTTTTTCTAAATCTAATGTTAAGCGTTATTTTGAAAACTTTAAAATTTAATGAAAGAGATAACGGAATAAAGTCACTATGAATGATGTGATAAGTCGCGTCAAAAGGTTCAGTTATGAAATAAAAAAGTTTGTATAAATAGGGTTTTAATTTGTTTTTCTTAACTTTGCTTTAATTACTTTGATTTTGTTTTCCTAAAAAAAACTCTGGACGTCTTTAACTGATTTTTTACCGACCGTATTGTGTAAACAATAGGTAGGTTATGTGATGGCAACAAATTTTGCATATCGAGTTTTCAGTGGGAACGTACTTCTCCATAGTAGGGAAGTGTAAATAAACTATTTTTAGCAAACTGTCGGTCTGTCGGTCTGTCGGTCTGTCCGTCTGTCCGTCTGTCGGTCTGTGTGTGCACGCGTGTAACTCAAGTTCGCCTGAACCGATTTTGATGAAATTTTATATGTAAGTTTGTTTCCACCATGGCACGGATCGATCAACTTTTGGTATATATCAGGATTCGGGAACTGCACTTTTTAGCGGGCCTATTTTACATTTTTGAACATTTTGAAGAAAATATTCAACCGATTTACTTGAAATTTTATATATAAGCTCAGCTCGACCGTCCGCAAAAATTCGTATGTTTTGGAAGAAATCAGGCATCGGCAACTAGACGTTTACTACGGGCCAAATATACATTTTTGTGTATATAAAGAGAAATAATCAACCGATTTCATTGAAATTTAATATATGAACTCCTCGTATTAAAACAATGAACATATAAATTTTTTGGAAAGACCAGGGCTCGAAAACGGATTTGCGGGCCGATTTTACATTTTTCACCATTTTGAAGAAAGTATTCAACCGATTTACTTGAAATTTCATATATAAGCTTTGCTCGATCATACGCAAAAATTCCTAACTTTTGGAAGAAATCAGGCATCAGCAACTGGGCGTTTACTACGGACCAAATATACATTTTTGTGTATATAAAGAGAAATAATCAACCGATTTCATTGAAATTTAATATATGAATTCCCCGTATTAAAACAATGAACATGTAAATTTTTTGGAATTATCAGGCATCGGCAACTAGACGTTTACTACGGGCCAAACATACACTTTTGTGTATATAAAGAGAAATAATCAACCGATTTCATTGAAATTTAATATATGAATTCCTCATATTAAAGCAATGAACATATAACTTTTTTGGAAAGATCAGGGCTCGAGAACTGATTTGCGGGCCGATTTTACATTTTTCACCATATCCACAGAACAAATTGATGGAATTTCTTGAAATTTGATGTTTGAGTTCTGGTTGTTACCGAAACTAACTGGCGAGCATTTCAGGGAATTCGGGTAGCACATTTGATATTTGAGTTCTGGTTGTTACCGAAACTAACTGGCGAGCATTTCAGGGAATTCGGGTAGCAAAAAGCGAATCTCTACTGAGAGCCAAATTTACATTTTTCTAAGTATCTTAACTATAAGCTTAAAGAAGTATTTAACAGACATTTTTATAATATTCTGTAACACTTTCATTTAACTAGACAATACACAATGCGGTCGGTTATGTGCTGACCACATCAGATTTTTTTTATTTTATTATTTAAATTATAAGACGTTAAAATTTGCAATTATATTTAAAAATTGCCAAAATTACAATGACATTTAATTGCCAAACTTATGATAATATTTTGTACATGTATTAAAAATTGTTTTAGTTTTAGTTACTTGAATATTTCTGCTAAATTAAAACACTTTTTTTTGTCTATTTCAGATGTTAAAACACGTTCAAATATCACCTTTTCGAAATCGTTCGGATTCCCTTTCCCTAAGGTCATCAACATCATGTGCTTCATCACTTTGTGGTAGCCCAGAGCCCCAAAATGATTTACAACTTACGCCGTCAAGAGCGTCTAGTTATTCAAGTTTAAGTGAGACAGGTCCTCAGGTAACATTTGTCTCGTTAATTTCACCGTTTTTTACATAAATAGCATAAATAACTAAAATTTATAAAATTTACGCATCATAAATTTAATATGTTTCACCAAAATCAAAAATATACCATAATATAAAAATATAAGTTACATAGTATATTACTTAAATTACTTTCTTCTCGATAAAATTTTATCATAATGAAGATTTTGTGACTCAAAATTATTTTGACACACATAAATTTCGTAAAATAATTTAAAATGCATGTGTATAATGATTTGACATACATTCAGGATGCACGAATTTTTGCAATGAAAATCAAAATTTTATAAAAATTTAAAATTTGGAGTGTTAGTGACGCATACATATGTATGTATGTATGTGAAGGTAAAATGAAATAAACCTTCCATTGCTTTACTGTGTAAACAAGCAGGAATTTTCGTATGTAGTTCAGGCTAATGAAAATGTTAAGCATATTTTGTTTCTTTAAAATTTAATGTTTTTTAAATATCTTTTTACTTCCACAAATCTATTAACTATATTATTTCTATTCCCAGACAACAATTAAAGTGTACACAAATTGTCTAAGAATTGATATTGAATACAAAACGCTTGGAATTCAATGGGATACAACAAGTAAAGAAGTGATAACAAAACTTTTAAAAAGGTAAATTAAATTGCAAACAAACATTACCCTTTGGTACTAAGAATATACTTTTTGTAAGGGTGGTTTGGAGCTGGTATTAAAGCTCTCGGGGGTGATTCCTTGAAGTTTTTAGGAAAACAAGTGTTCTAGTTGACCCTTAATGTTTTTGGAAAAGAAATTATTTTTTTTGCATTTTGGTGGTCTATTAACTGAAATAAAGATGATCTCCTTTCGAAAAATTTTTCCTAAAGAAACTATATGAAGTCACCTACCATTCAGAACCATGCTGTACAAAACTTATTTTTTCATACAATTTTATGTATTTTTTGTTGTAATACAGATTTAATTTTTTTTATTCCAGATTAAAAATGAGACATCGTGATCCAAAGTTATTTTTCTTATCTATGGAAGTAACAGTGAGAAGCGCAGGAGTCAAAACTGTTTTCGTATTAGATAATGCAGCACGTCCTGCTATTTTACAAGCATGTCATCCAAAAGGGGAATCAAGGTATGTTATGTATCAGGTATTTCCAACAGTTTGTAGATCATTAACAACAAAAATATCAAGTACTTTAAACAAGGCACAAGTTCAATTATTTTAAGTAATTAAATGAACAATTTAATATTGTTGCGTAATATAATTTGAAATTTGGAAACATTATGAAATTAAAAGGAATGCAAAATACAATGTTTTGTTAATATATTCATTTTTTTGCACATATTTTAGATTTTGTCTGCAATCGAAACCTGGAGGACTAATACGTGTACATACTTCCGCCTTGCAATCTTCATCCCAATATAAATCGCTTGTGATATCACAGGAAACCACTTCTGATGAACTATTATGTATCTTGTTATCTTGCTATAATTCAGTAGAACCAGTAGAACAGTTCTCATTATATGAAGTAAGTAACACTATTCTAACAGAATCATTTTGCTAAATGTATTTATTAAAAAAAAATAAAGCATTTGAATTTTATGGAATTAAAAAAATTCTTTAACTTTTAATAGGTTTGTCCTGGTCAAGAATATCAAAGAAAATTACACCCAGACGACATTCCTTTGAAAGCACAAAATGAAAGAATTCAACGTGGAGAAACCTGTCATTTTCTTGTACGACGAAATCCCAATTATCCAAAGCGTCGACAAACAATATCGACTACCAGTACAAGGAGTGGCAACATGAGTAGTAATCAAAATTTTAGCAGCGGAAAAATATATGACATAGATATAAGTGAAGTAAATAAAGAGAGTGCAAGGATAAATACGGTTACGCCAAATATGTCAAATGAAAATTCTGAAAGACAAACGAGGTATCCAGCGTCAGAAATATGTATTGAAAAAAGCGAATTAAAATTTCATGATTATAATTGTTTTGACAATAATTTTAAGCAAAATCAAAAATGTTCTTTGAACGGAAATACCCTTGTTTCTTTGATTCAAATATCAACACCATCCCAATACTGTGCAACAATGCTATCTCAAATGAAAGAACAGAATTGTTCGGTAATCAAAGCCAAAAAGGCACAACAAAATCAATCAAATGTTCAAAAAAATTGTCAAAAATGCCGAAATTCATTTAAATCTTGCGAATTTTGCAATAAAAATTTAAAAGCAACGATATTACATGCTCCACCACAAGCATCAACTCCATCATCCAATCTTAAATTGACTGAAAATTTAAGCGTATTACAAAATTCTAAACACTACAGTCGACAAAAATGTATGCTCACAAATTTAGAAGTGACCAAGTACAGTCCAGTATACAACATTCGAGAGATACGTACTGTTAGTCAATCTTTTTCTTCGCTTGGAAATGATAAAAAAATTATAGACATCGATTTCGAAACACATTTTGTTCCTGTATCACCAACATTGAAAGAAAAGTTTTCAGCAAAAAAGGAAATGACTATAAATGGAGCAATAAGTTCTCCTAGCATAACAAAAAGTAATAAACAAGTAGGAAGTAGCGTAAGCAATAAAAACTACGCTTCATTTTTAGCATTAATACCTTTTGCAAACAAATCACAAAATTTCACTAAAAACAACATTTTACCATTAAAATCCAAAGAAGTATCTGGCTCGTTAAACGATACAAACTATGATTTGATTTCAACAGAACAATCGAGCTTATTAAGAACTGGACGCAACTTTCTAGAAATAAAGGTCTTGAATGAATCAGAAAAAAGAAATGCAAAACCCATTGAAGAAGTTAATAATAATCCATCCAAAGGCTTAGGTCATTTTGTCTATATTTAAGCAGATACATCTAATAAAAAAACCAATATAATAAAAAAAGCTTAGATTTATGGACCTTATGGAAAACTTAGATTTATGGACATAGCAACAAAAGAATTAACGTATAATTTTTGTAATATAAAAGAAAAATATATGTACATACACATGTATTTACAAAATATACATATGTAAATGAAACTTGAAGAAACTTTAAAGATTGAGAAACTGAAAACGTCATCATTTTCTCTCATTTTTGTTCAAAAAGAATTATTCCAGACTCTTTGCGTACAAAAAGTTTGTTTTAAAAAAAGTTTTTATACTTGTACGAACGTATGTTCGAAGGGTATCCTGAATTTTCCTTACCATTTGTGGTACTAAAAAATGATGGTCTGAGATATAGACTCAAGTGTATGTTTTTGATCAGCGTCGAATTCGGAGCTTTTTCTGTCCGTCCGTCCGTCCGTCTAAACGATTACTTAAAAACTAATTGAGCTTTAATGAAAATCAGTGAACTTAGAGTTTTTTCAAATTATTTATTACAATAAATTCCAGAACCACATTTCAATTGAATATGGTCGGGGTACTGGTTCGGGTAGATGCTATACTACTTCAAATTTTATTTGACTATATCTTAGAAACTATAAAAGCTGTGGTATTGAATATATTAGCAGGGCCAATGTGTTTGATAAAATTCATTGAAATTGCTTGGCTCTTTCTGGTACCAGCCATACAGCTTCAATAGTAGTTCAAATAGAAAATATTGAAAACACAGTGCTGCATATACAAATTTTGCATAAATTAATGTTAACACGGCAACTTAAAGTCATAGTCTGTACCATAGTCAGCTATGGCATATTTATTCGCACATGGGATAACAAATTCGTACGGGTACATGGTCAACTCTATTTTTCCTCGTTTTTAAATAAAGTTTTTTCAAGTTGTATAAGGTTTTTAAAAACTTTCTTATACCAGAATAAACTGTTATGTATATACGTACATATGTACATAATTAATTTAATATATACGCTAAAGTTGTAGTAGCAAAAATTAAGTAAAGATATACATACATACATATATACATAATATAAGTACGTAATATCTAACGAATGCAAGGCAAAAATTTATCAAAAGGATATTTACATACATTTTTTTCTTTTTTAAGATATTACATACATGCATAACTTCAAATTTTAACATTCTATGACTTCAAAACTGTATTGTTACATAATTCAGCAATGACTATAGACTAAATTGTGACTAACGCGGCTAAAGTATACGAAGTCAACGATTTTGGACACACTACGATTATGAATGTTTATATGTATGTACATATAAATAAAAAATTTTATTGTCTTACTTCAGCATTGTAAAAAATAAAGTTTAATTTCACTTAACTAAGTGAACTTAAAATAACTAGATATCCATAAAATATATAGAATCCAAAGAGTTAAATTTTAACTTGAAAAATTAAAAACTATGAACTTTCATATTTACATTGTAAAACTTAGCGGCAACATTTATACCAAAGATATTATTTTAAAAAATCAAGAAATTTGTTTTAAGAAACTAATTCATTAGTTATTATGTGTATGTGCATGAATAATTATTATTATTTTTAAACGCATATATATGTATGTGACTACAATTACTGTATACATATGTATAATGATTTCAACAAAAGCCAATAGCCTTTTACAACCTTACATGTAAAATTATGATTGCGTGATCACATACATACATATGTAATTACATAATTGTTTTATTAATGTTAATTTACATAAAATTAAAAGTAAAATAATTGCCAAAATTAATTGAAAATTCTAAAAATATAATGTAATTAATACCAAAAATTAGCAAATACTTTTATGATTTAATAATTTTGACCCTTTAATGTAAGTAAATTTATATTTTAAAAAGTAATAAAAATAATGTAATAATTAATACATGCATTTTGTAGTGAAATTATTTAGTACATTATGTAAATGAATATAGAAGAATATTATTTTATAAATTTATAAGCAGCTGTACTATAAATAAAGTTATATAATATTATATAACTTTATTTATATATGTAATATAATTATTATAATTATATATATATTAAATATGTATGTCAAATCGAGCGTTATATACCATTGGAACGATAGAACTATCAAAACCTATAAGATGGTTAAGGAATGCATTTGAACGTTTTTTATTAAATTAATTAGAATATTGTATCGTGAGATTCTGTTAAGATAAGCAATCTTATCAAAATATATATGATATATTTGACATTATTTCTCTCAAATATTACATTTAAAGGCTTACGTCATCTGCACATTTTTGCTCTATAATATATCCAGATTATATTTTGATTTTTATAAAATTTAATGCCAACAGTGGGTTCGCACGACACATAAGTGCAAAATACTTTAAAGCTTTACAATAAATAAGTTGATTGCATGAATAAAACTCATTTGACTTTTACACACTAATTATCGCCGTTTTCTACACAGTTAATCGTTCAAAATAATCATGAGGTTGCATGTACATATGTATGCAATGTGTATATTTCCTTATAATCTTGGTACGAGAGGGAAAAAAATATCACAACTTAATAAAACAAAATTTTAAACAAAACTTAACTGTACTCTCGCAAAGTTCTAATTACAGTATTTTAAAAAGTTTTTTACTAAATTAATTGAATTGAAAATTCACATGAAAATGCAAAGCTAAGCGAAAATGTGTTGCATAATTTTTATAAATAAAAATTATCTTAAATTTACAATTTTACAAAACTTAAAAAAAGTGTATGTATTTTAAAAATAAAATGCCAAAATTACAAGATAAAATATAAGACAAAGACCTGAGAAAGGTATGAAAACTAAAAACATTGGGAATAACATAATACCAAAGAAATTGACAATAAATCTGAGAGAGATTACCTACTAAAGACAGCAGCCATTCAGATTACCTACTGAGGACATACATTAGTGTATATCAAACAACCCCGAGGCGATTTTTCAAAAATTCTAGCAAGCAAAATAAGGATTGTGTCATAATAGAAGGCACGATTTAGAGGTTTTTCTTAAAACATCCATTTCTCTATCTTTCATAGTTATAAATATCGGGAAACTCAAGGGAAATATTCAAGAGGAGGTAATGTTATTTCAGTTAAGGGCACCAAAAAACATAAGGAAGAATCTTGAATAGAGACTTCAGAACTTCAATATACATATATTTAGTATATTGTGTAATGTTAAGAAAGATATTTTATAAGGATCTCCTATGTGCGATTGGACACATATTGTTTCTTGAAGGTTCGGAAGTGACCAAAAACAGGGGTGGAGAACCAAGAAAAGTTACTTCACGAATTAGGATGTTTCTATCAATCTACAGGCAATCCGACTTATGAGTCTAAAGATGACTCTTTTATATTCCAGAGAATTCAGTTATATTTTTTTTAATTTGGAAGATAATTTTCATTTAAATTTAGAAGAATCTGCTGTCATATTAAACCTTTGTAAGAAATTAGTTGAAAAACAGAGCGAACCCACTTTATAACTAATAGAACCATAAATTGGGTTCAAACAGAGCTTCAAACTTTATGTTGTTAGAAACATAAATCTGGCGGCTGGACTACAGACTAAAGATCAATTATATTTCCAAGTGGAAGACTCAATTGAGTTAATACAGAAAACCGTCTGGAAAAATACTACATAACTCTAAATTCAAACCTGCATCAGATAACTATTCTAAAGCTACAACTGATTTAATATTACAAAAAAGAAAGAAATTATTCGTTGTGAAAAGCAAAAATGAGTACTAAACATCCTATAAAACAAATATTCCTATTAAAAAAAAACAGATGAATCGTGGCCAAGAAAGAAAAAATATGTAGCCGAATCAGTTGCTGATCATTCAGAAAAAATTTTTCAAGCAAATGAAATGAGTTCTAGTAGACGATTTGGTTTTGAATGAAAGCACTATGCATCTACTTACACAAAAAGAAATTTGCAAAGCAATAAGATCACTGAAATCGAATAAGGTCGAAAATTTTGATCTCGCTGCTGAGATAAAAGGGAAGTCGCCCAGAAAAGCATTCATTTTTCATAAAGTGATGAATGCAACAGTAAATCTAAGATATGTTGTTAACGTTTTGAAAGTATTGGAAGTTATTATGATAGAAAAACCAAGAAACCTTTTAATATGGTAAAGTCATATAGGTCAATATATCTGCTATAAATGATATCAAAATTTCTTGAAAAGAAATGATATCATGATCTTGAAAAGGCTATGCCGATAATTGAAAATTGAAGTACGGCACAGAATAACAAATATTGTAGAAAAGACATTAGAAAAAAGAAAATTATGTTCTTCAATATTTCTGAACGTGGCACAGGCGTTTTATAAAGTCTAGCACGATGGTTCATTATTTAAACTTAAGAATTTGATACCTTCCCAAGTCACTGCGTAAAGATACTTAAATCTTATTTACCTGAAAAACTTTTTCGAATTAAACGGGATGAGAACTCCACATTTAGAGAAATTAGGGCGGGTGTGCTTCAAAGCAGTATTCTGATTCTGTACTATAACTATTTAAGAAGTTATCTGCCAGAATTAGGGAATGAAACTATGGTTATGTACTGACAATAAAAAAACAACTGATAATATAAGTAAATGGAATATAACTAAAGGGAATACAACTAAATGGAAGAGTAGGCTAAATGAAAGTAAATCAGTACATGTAAAAGTCCCGGCGGATTGGACCACGAAATATTCGCAGTAAGGTATGCTTGTTGTAAGAGAAAACACGACGATTAAATATCTCAGGTGGTAATCCAGTAATGCTGGAAAATCCACACTCTTCGGAGGCTGGTCTCATGGATTCTGGGAGAGCACTTACTGCATAGTAGATCGGCGTTGGACCCATTTAGAAGGAGATCAGGGGTCATGCGATCACCCCCATTCTTGATTGCCGATAAAAATGGCAGAGTTAATGATAGTAACTCTGAGAAAAAGTCTAATAAGTTTGCAGAAGGCAAAAAAATGAAAACTCAAGAGGACAATATGAGAAGGCATCTTATACAGGAAAGTAAATTGGATAATCAGGACTCGAGAGTAACCGAGTTAGAGAGTCTATGTACATACGTGCTACAAAACGAGATCTGCAAATAGATGATTTAAAAAATCAAATAAAATCTGCATCAACAGAAAAGAAGAACAAAGATGCGGAAGTTATTGTATATAAAACCGAAGAGGAAGAACTAGCTAGAGAAACTGACTGAATCCTAAAACAGAATAATGCAAAGAAGCGAAAATGGAAAAGTCTCCTGAAATAAATTCAGAGAGGACAGTTAAAAAAAATAATGAAACCAGCCCTAAAATAAAGCCTGAAAATCCAAAGAAGCACAACCCTTCTCCGGTTATATTGAGCAACATTAAAAACTACTCCACAGTTAAGATATTAAAAGAAGAAAGAATAAACTTTAGGATCAATATGATGAATAATGACCAATTAAAAATAAATGTAGAGAATGAAAATGAATACAGTAACTAACAACAGCTATAAATAAGACTAGACTGGAGTGGCACACGTATGAGAATAAACTGACAAGGCCAGTTGAAATTATGGCTAGAAATCTCCATCCATCGTGTGAGCCAGAGGATATAAAAAAGAGTTCATTAGAAAAGGCTTAAATGTCTTGATGCTGTAAATAAAATCAAAAGGAAAAAAGAAAATGGAAAATATATTTCAGTAAAATTTCCGCTCTTTATGTTATCTTTTGCCCATTCGGAAGAGATAACCAAAATCTATAAAATAGAATACTTGCAGCACATGAAAGTAAAAATTAAAGCTCTTAGAAGCAGCAAATCTATTCCTCAGTGCAAGAGATGCCAGAGATTTGGACACACACAAAAGTTTTGCCAAAGAAAGGCTAGATGTGTAAAATGTGCTGGTAATCATATGACAGCAGAGTGCAACAAGAACAATAATTTTCAGTCCAAATGTGCGAACTGCAATGAGGCAGACCCTGCTAGCTATCGAGGTTGTTTGGTTCCAAAAGAATTTCAAAAAAGAAAATTAAAAAAGAATAAAACCAAACAAAATCAAGTTAAATTTACTGAGCTCCAAAAATAACCAGAATAACGACACCTAGAAAAGTGCTAAAGGAAGTATCGTATTCACAAGCGCTTCAAAGCAAAACAGAATATAAGAAAAATAAGGAACCTGAGAACAAAATCCCACAAATAAAAAGAAGTGGCGAAGAACTTACAAATGAAGCACAGTATGTTGATTAGAATTAACGAGATCTCTAAAAGATTATTAAAAATAGAAAATGGATACACTGAGGTGTATACGTGGACACCAAAGAAATTAAAAAAAGATGTACGTATAGTAATTTGGAATGCTAATGGTGTTCTTAATAAGAAACAAGAATTAGAGATTTTTCTCAAAACGAGAAATATAGATATTTGTTTGAAGTTGGAGGCTCATTTGATAATTATATGGGCCTTAAAATAAAAGGATCAGCCAAGAGGAGGTAGTGCAATACTAATAAAAGAAAGTAAAGAACATAATGAAGAATTCAAGATAGAAACGGTTGAAATTCAGCTTATTTCGATAAAAATTAAATCTACTAAACAGGACTTTAGTGTTGGCGCTGTATACTGTCCACCAAATTGCAGCATTAAGAAAAATACTTTTAAGAATCTCCTGTACAATCATGGACACAGATACTTAATAGGAGGTGACTATAATGCGAAACGTACAGATTGGGGTTCTAGAATCACCTAGAGGAAGATAGCTAAAAAAAGCTATTCAGGAACTAGGTTGTTGTTATCACTCCATTGACACTAAATAGATTCCTGATGTTATTGACTTTTTTATAACCAAAAAAATATCAGAAAACTTTCTAAGCCTTGAAGATAATTATGATTTTAATTCAAAT